CAATGACTCTCAACTACAGGTTGAATGGGTAAAACTACTTTTGGCCTTAGCATCTGACAAGGAGTTTGTCTCAAAGTACACTCTCAATGGTGAACTGATGAAATCAAACCCTCATCACTCAGAGATCAAGAAGAATACACACGCATTTATAAAGCTCGCCATAAAGACCTTGAAAACGGTATGCAACGAAGGTCAAAATGCTGAAGCGTTGTTCATTTTGGCATCGTTATATTCAAATATACCGACCATAACAGTACCAAAGCCAGATCTTTTGGACCGTAACCTTGATAAGGCATTTGTGCTGTACGTCAAGTCGGGATCTCTGGGCTATCCACTATCTCTTTATCGATGTGGAGTCTCGTGTGAATTTGGTATTGGAACCCATCAAGATGAAGAAAGAGCATTGGATTACTATAAAAGGGCCACGGACTCAGGCTGTAACCAGGCAATGTTCAAGATGGCGTTGATATACGCTGATGGGCTCCTGGGTGTACGTCGCTCCGCAACCAAGACTGTCGAATGGCTTCAACGAGCTGCTGCACAGGCTGATGTTGATACTCCACATTCGCTTTTCGAACTTTGCAAGGTTTACTCAAGAGACTTCTCCTTTATGAAGAATCCGTCTCATCCAGATATCGAGTTTCTGAGAGAATTGGACAGAATTGGAGTGCTCCAGGACGACGAAAAGGCCTTGTACTACTGCAAAGAGGCTGCACGTCTGGTATATCCACCAGCACAGTGTAAGCTTGGTTGGTGCTACGAGTACGGAAAGATGGGGTGCACCATCGACCCTAAGAAGAGTATAGGCTGGTACTCAAGAGCTGCTAAGAATGGGAACGCAGAGGCAGAAATGGCACTAAGTGGCTGGTATCTGACCGGTGCAAAGGGCTTGCTCGAGGCTAACGATAGAGAAGCATTCCTATGGGCCTTCAAGAGTGCCGAGAGCGGGTTTGATAAGGCAGAGTATGCTCTTGGATATTACTACGAGGTTGGTTTAGGCTGTGAGCGTGATTTGGAGATGGCCAGGAAGTTTTACCAAAGAGCAGCGTCCCAAGGCCACGAGAAGGCCGTTGAGAAGCTACGTGGAATGAGGGATCTCAGATGAGTGGTTGTATTAATTAATAATGTATGGACTATGGCAATTATAGGCGAACTCGTAATGACGATAGAGGCTCAAGCGCATTACTGGGCTGATCCACTCTCAGCTGTTTCTTCACTCGCCTCCTGTTCATAAGCTGTAGTCAAGGACTGTTCAGCATGGACAGTTGCAACGGCATTAGCACTGGCTGCTTGCTGCCATAACGGTATTTCCTGTTGAGCAGTTGACTGCGAATATGACTTGTGGTTCATAGCAACACTATCAGGTCTCTCAGGAAGACTCTCTTCAGATAAAAGGGCACTCGTTGCCGGTGTATTCACAGCAGCTGATCTCTGCCAGGAGGGAATCTGAGGATTCGACGAGATGTGCGACGAGGACTGTGGCTGAGGAGAGCTGACAGCTGATGATGTTGCGAGGTTTGCCCGTTTCAAGATCTCAGAGGCAGAAGGGATTGACGACGCCGGTGGAACTGGCGATGTTGCCGTCTCCTTGGTACCATTGCTGCCCAATTCCTTCGCCAGGGAGTTCTTGGACTTGATCAGCTGTTGCAGGGAGTTCAGCTCGTGCTGGATGCTGGCAACCTCATTGGCGATGGACGACTGCTGCTTATCTAGCGCACGGTCTAGAGAGGCCTTCAGGTTCTCAATCTCTGACTTGAGGTACTTCACCTCGTCCTCCACCTTCGAGTTCTTCTCCTTGGAGTCGTTCACCAGGTCCTGGACGGAGTCGATGACGGCGTCGATGGCCTTGGCCTTCTCCGCCTCGCCCTCCTTCAGCTGCTGCTGAGTATCAGCAATCTCCTTCAGCGTGGCCTCGATTCTCAGAAACTCCTCTTCAATCGCCTCCTTGTCCTTATCCAGCTTCGACTTCGAGTCCGGCAGCACGTTGGGAATGAGATACCGCTTCGTGATCTCGTACAGCGCAAACCCAACACCCACAGTGGCTGTTGCCATGATGAAGTAGTCCTTCCAGTCCTTCTCCGGAACAGGTGGCGGCGCAGGCGTGTAGTACTGTGGAGCACTGTGAGCCTGCTGGTGATACGACTGCACACCTTGCTCTGAGCCTGAGGAGCTCTGCGTGCCAGAGGAGCTCTGTGCTGGCGGAGAGCGATCAACGCTCTCCTGCGATCTCTTCATCGCCTCCTCAATCTCCTCCTTCGTCAAGCCTTTGCTCTCCAGGAACTCAACCTTCTTCTCCAGTGGAGACGACGACACTTGTGCGTCCTTAAGGAAGCTCACCGCATTGGCAATCAATTCCTCACGAGTGCTGGACATGATGAAGCGAGCCTACGAGTTGTGGGTGGTCCAGGCAGGGCTTCTTTATACGTTCAGCGTAGCAAGCTCGGTGTGGATGAGCCCTTGGTGGTGGCGGTGGGTACTAACTCAGCGAGAGGATTTGGCGGACGCTCGCTGTGTGTGGCTACCCTTCGGAAGAAGCCGGGGGGAGGAGCCGCTTCGGGCAGCCGATAGCGCGGGGGACGGTATTCCGAGGGCAGTGTTTGAGGTAGTCACGTGCCATAACCTAATCCGAGGACAACATTAGGCTAATCTCTCTATCTCTCTCTCTATTTATGCCACAACAACACCATTAACTACTCCTTCCAGAAGCTATGAGCACTGTGCTGGATGACATATCGACGCCAGGTAGTGGACGAGTGCAGACTGCTGGCGAGCTCACAGCTCACGGTGTTCTACGTGGAGATTGGCGACACATGGGAGGACGACTATAAGGTGAGTGCGCCCGCAATGAGCTGTTCTACTGTATAGAGCTAACCACGTATCCAGTTCGAGACTGCGCTAAGACTGCTACCGTTTAAGCAGCAGACGAGGGTCATCTCCAAGAGGTTCTCACAAGACGCACGCACAGCTCTCGCCAACCAGCTTCTCCAGAGGTTTGTGTGCTGTGCTCTTCTCGACACCACGCCAGACCTGTTATCGTTCACGAGTAACGAATATGGAAAGCCTCAGCTGGAAGGCTGCGGCTTCCAGTTCAGCATGAGCAACCAGCAGGGGTACACCAGCATGGTTGTATCAAGAGCACAGTGTGGCATCGACCTGGCAAACTGCAATGACGTTGACAAGTTTGGCACAGGCTATCTGGCCCATTTTAGAGACATATTCCATCCAGATGAGTATGAAGCACTCGAGGCACTTGCGGACGACGAGCAGACCAAGAACAGATTCACGCACTACTGGGCACTGAAGGAAAGCTACACCAAGCTACTGGGCGTGGGACTCAACGGCGACTTGAAATCCTACAACTTCAGCAACGTCAATACGCTGCGCTGTGACGATACAGTCGAGGCCCACGACACTTTCCAGCGACGCACTGAGCCACTGTGGGACTCCTCCACGACTCTGGCCATTGGCGGAGTCGATGAGGACATTTCGATCTATTCCACAATGCTCAACAAGGAGATCGTCGTCTCTGCCTGTACGCTGGATCACCTCACTGAGACCCCCACTCTGGTGCACGTAAAACTAGAGGACATTGTCAAATTCCTCTCGCACAATAAATGATCCCTGTCTCGGGCTGCTAGCACCAAACATGGAGCTGTAGACATTCATTGGCCTCAGGTTGTGCTCACTGTCCTTCCTGGGCCCCAATTTCCATCACAATGCCCTTCTAAGCCAATCCCGAGGCGTATTTCTGCCTCGAAACAGAAACTTTTCACGTACTCACATAGAACTCACATCCACGAGACATTTTATTCACCGAATATTCAAAGAGAACCGACGCAAATCGTTGCAAGAGCCATGTCGGAGAAGCCCATTTCACACCTCATCGGAGGCTTTGCCGGTGGACTCACCTCTGCGGTGATTCTTCAACCATTCGACCTCGTCAAGACAAGGCTTCAGCAGCAACCGTCAGGGTCTATCCCCGACACTTTGAGGACATTGTCCAGCTACAAGGAGCTGTGGAGAGGAACGCTACCCTCAGCTGTGAGAACCTCGGTGGGCTCTGCACTCTACCTCACGTCCCTACACGCATTCAGATCCGTGCTGGCGAAGAGCCATAACAGCAGTGCCACCAATGTGTCCGGGTCGAGCTCATCGCTTCCCAAGCTCAGTATGGCCGAAAACCTCGTCACTGGTGGGCTCACGAGAGGGTTTGTCGGGTTCGTCACGATGCCCATAACCGTGCTAAAGGTGCGGTATGAGAGCACCGTCTACCAGTACGACTCCCTGTTAGGTGCCGTCCGATCAATTCACCAGACTGAAGGTGTAAAGGGCTTCTTTAGGGGCTTCACTGCCACTTGTATGCGTGATGCTCCGTACGCTGGGCTGTACGTACTGTTCTACGAGCAGTGCAAAATGGTTCTGCCCAAGATGCTGCCCAATGTGGACACTGGAACCACGCTCTCGGTGAGCAAGTCAGCGATGATCAACTCGCTGAGTGCGTTTTCTGCTGCGAGCATTGCAACCACCATAACAGGGCCGTTTGATACGATAAAGACCAGAATGCAGCTGAAGCCATTGGAATTCACGGGGTTCTGGCAGGCTGGTGTGAAGATTGTGAGAGAAGAAGGAGCAATTAGACTGTTTGACGGGCTCTCGCTGCGTCTGACGAGAAAGGCATTCAGTGCTGGCATTGCCTGGGGGATTTACGAGGAGATCATCAAGTATATCGTCAGACAGCATTGAGCCGTCGTGTATTCAGAATTTAGCATAGCTTTCCCATGTACATAGAATCAGAGCTGGAAATAACAGGACATTGCTCTACAGCTTGTGTTTACACAGCTACAGTTGTACGATCTATAAATATCTTAATAACAAATTCAGAATCAAATACACCTCAGCTATAACTGTTGTAGTTCTTTGCCCAAAGACTCCTCGTCTGAGGCAACAACCACAGCAGACTCTTCACGCTTTCTATCACGTCTGGCAAGAAATTGAACCAGTCCCGTGAGCACGAACCCAAAGGCACCTAAGAACAGGGTATATGGGAAACCTTTTGCGAATTCAGGTGCATCATTCTGGTTGAAGGTCAACATTGGAACCCAGGCACCGGTGACATATGCCAGAGTGTTTGTACAGACAACAACAAAGTTTCTCTTCATATCGTTGTGAGCAAGCATACCATTCAACCAACTGAAGATCATAGGCTGGCCCCATGACAATGGGATACCAAGGGCAAAGTATGCAAACCAGTGGAGTCCACGAGGAACGTTCCACGCTGTCAAAATGGCACACGAGAACACGATAAAGAAGTACATGATGTACAGGAAGTACGGTGTTAGCTTGGACTTTGACCAATCGTTGAGATAGGCTGCAATCACTGCGAAGGCAATACCCACACCAGAGATGATTGTTGGGTAGTAGTTATAGTAGTATGAGTCCAACAGCAGCGTTCTCTTCATCCACAGCTGGAAGGCTTGCGACGTCATTGGCTGGTAGGCATTGTTAAACGTCAAGAACAAAACCGGGAACACATAGATGTGCCATGTGTTGAAGAAAGTCTTGATCAGCTTCCAGGTGTACTTCTCACGTGTGTTCAACTGCGCACCGATACGACGACGTCTTTCCAGTGCGATGAGCTTGTCCTCTTCTGTGAAGTAGAACGCGGTGGTGGTGGATGGCGTGTTAGGGTCGACAAAGAACGTGTACACACACACCGGGATGGTGATGGCAGCATCAATGACGAACATCCACTGGAACGGCTGCAAATGGCGATGAGCCCACGAACTCTGTAGAATTCTTTGTTGAAGAGGACCGGAAACCAAACCAGCAGCTGTACCAGAACATCCAAACAAGGTGGCACGCTTGCTGAGCTCCTTCTTCGAGTACCACGAGCCAATCAGGTACTCCAAGCCAGGGAAGTAACCCGACTCCGTGAGCCCAATGAGGAAACGCAACGCGTACATCCCCTTCAGAGACTTTGGCGCAATAAGAAGAACAGTCAGAATGGCCCAGATCAGCTCCAGCCCGGCAAGGTACACCCTGGCTGAGATCCTGTGCAAGATCAGGTTGGAAGGGATCTGTCCAATGATATAGCCCACGGTCCACAGCGTCACCATGGTGTTGTAATCGTTACCTTCCATGTTGTAGTGCTCCTTCATACCGTTGACGTAGGCCGTACCAACGTTACTCTGGTTCAAGGTCTTCATGAAGTAGCCCAGACATGCGGAGCTCATCAAGAACCAGTCCAGCTTGAGGAGGAACTTACGCTCCTTTGGATGTTTATCAAAGGAGTCCCAGATGAACACCTTGGTCTTGTACCACCAGTGTTCTCTCTTCTGGAGCTCCTCTGGAGTCTCCTCCACAGTGAGGTCGATGTAAGGCTTGTCCTGGCTCTCGTTGTCGCTGGAGCCGTTGCCCAGCGTGATGTCGTGGACATCGTACTCCGTCTTCTCACGAACAGAAGGTGAGGACATTGTGTGGTTGTGGTGATGAGTGAAGGAGCCAGCGCCTGTGGCAGTCCACTGGAGCTGCTTCCATCGTCCTTATATACACCTGCTGTACACAGCACAGCAAAGCACACAGCACAGCACACAACACACTGTGGATCTTTCGCTCAGCGAGCATTATGGCTCGTGGCTCGTCTTTTGGTGCCCGCTCTGCCAACGTTGATCCACCTCATTGGCCAACAGCGCATGCCCTCGCGGTGTTTCATAAGCCACAGGATCCACACATACAAATAACACCAAAATGTGTCATATTGGCCGCAGGTCTTTGTCATTCCAGGCAAGCTGAGCCTGGCAGTACAACGCCCCTCCCCCGCCAACGCAACCTGTAGCGGGCCTTTAAACCACACCGTGTGCCACACCGGCTGGCGTGCACACGCCAGCGCGACTGTGTGGCTCTGCGGTGTGGGAGGCACAGATCTGTCCACTGAGCCCGGCATTACACCGTGCACGCTTCGATTTCTACAAGGGCAGGGCAACGGGAAGGCCAAGGCAACGGCGAAGGGCTGCTGGTGCCGACAAAACAGCAAACGTCCGCTTATCAGTGGCTCAGCTCGAGATGGCTCGTCAGTGGAACACAAGCACCAGCTGGTTGTGAAGCCCTCTGGGCCCTGGAGCTCGCTTCCACCACCATCTCTGGCTGCAAAGCGTGGTGGAAAATGTGGCTTTATATGCAGGCTGAATGGGATACCATGCGCACTGCGAAGGCGCTTGTCAGTCCCAAAGAACAAGGGCTGGAAAGCGCTAAGGTGTCGGTTGAGCGATGAGGAGTCGCCGAAGAATTGCTCGATGTGGTAAGGGCTCGGTTGTGGTGTTGTCGATTGTGTGATGAATGTGCAGTTCTGCTGGCGTAATTAGTGCGAATGTGCGGTGTGTGCGGTGTGTGCGGTGTGTGCGGTGTGTGCGGTGTGTGCGGTGTGTGCGGTGTGCGGGTGTTTGTGAGCCACATGCCATAGCATCAACGACACCACGGATGAGCAGCGAGGTGGTGAGAGCTGATGAGATCTCATGAGAGCTGGTGGGAACTGATAAGCGCATCACAAGTGATGCACTCTGCTGTGTCCAATCATCTCGCAGTCTTGGAGATAAGGCAAGCGCTACACAGGCCTCCAAACCGCCTGGTTGTTCGTTAAAACAGGCAACTATATCTGCCAGGCTCGCAAGAACAGTGGCAAAAGAGAAAAGGACAATAATTCATTAAGTGTGTGGTTAATTAGGTCACTTGTAACGTGGTGTGGAGCATCTGTTGCAATTGGCCACTGTGGTTGGTTAGAAGTCGGTCTTTGAAGCGCTTGGTGCACCATTAGCGATCTCATCCAGCATACCGGCAGACGCAGCAACGAGGCCCAAGAAGGGCTTGGATGGGTCCAGAACCTTGGACATGTACTCAGGATGGTACTGGGTGCCCACAAAGAACGGGTGGTTCTCCAACTCGAAGATCTCCATTCTCTGGCCAGTCTCGTCCCTACCCACAAACTTCAAACCATGTGCTTCGATTGTGGATATGAGCTTTGGATTGATCTCGTATCTATGACGGTGTCTCTCCTCGATCTGATCAAAGTTACCGTACAACTTCTTCAGAACAGACTTGTCGGTCTGGAAAACAGTTGGACGCAGACCGAGTCTCATGGTGCCTCCCAGCTTCTCCTTGTCGATCTCTGGCATGTACACAACAGTGGCTTCGTCCTCTGTCAACTCTGGGACAAACTCTTGAGAGTTGGAATGCTCAATCCCGACAACAGATCTGACAAACTCGATGGAGGCCACTTGGAATCCCAGACACACACCCAAGTATGGGATGTTGTTCTCTCTGGCCCATTTAGCAGCGCTCATCATACCTTCAGTACCACGTTGACCGAAACCACCTGGAACGAGAATACCATCAGCAGAGCACATGTCGTGCCATGCCTTGTGAAACTTGATCTTATCGCTCTCACTGGCCTCTGGCTCCAAATCAGTGGCTTCGACCCAAATGATCTCAAGACGACGACGACATCTCATGGAAGAGTGCTCCAAGGACTTGATGACAGACGTGTAAGCATCTTTCAAATGCGTATACTTACCCACCAGCGCAATCTTGACGGTCTCGTAAGATCTGTCATAGGACGTGGTAAGCTCCCTCCATCTGTGAAGCAAGTCAGCACCCTTCGAAGCATCGGCTTCTGAGATGTTGAGCGTGTCCAATCTCAATCTCTGGGTCCAGTACTTGGTCATCTTCTGTTCCAGCAACAACAATGGAACGTGATAGGTAGAGTTCAGATCGTGGACTGCAATGACCTGGTCTGGACCAACATGACAGAACATGGAGATCTTCTCGATGGTTGGTCTCTCCAGCTTATCGGAACAACGGCACGCAATAACATCCGGAGTCAAACCCAGAGATCTCAGATCCTTGATTGCAGCCTGAGTTGGTTTGGTCTTCTGTTCACCGTGAATCACAGGCACCAGAGAGACGTGCATTAGGGCAAAGTTATCACGGCCAACTCTGAACTGAAACTGTCTAAGCGCCTCCACGAAAGGAGCACTTTCGATATCACCAACGGTACCACCAAGCTCGATGATACAAACGTCCGGCTCCAGACCAGTGTCGTCAACTGGGATTTTGGAGACCCTCTCAATCCAGTCCTGGATGGCATTGGTCAAATGAGGAACAACCTGGACCGTCTTCCCCAAGTAATCACCCTTTCTTTCCCTCTCAATCACTTGCGAGTAGACCTTACCAGTGGTGATGTTGTGATCCCTGGTCAGGGTGATGTTCATGTAACGCTCATAGTTACCCAGATCCAAGTCTGACTCACCACCATCGTTCAGCACGAAAACCTCTCCGTGCTCTAATGGCGACATGGTACCAGCGTCAATGTTCATGTACGGGTCAATCTTGATAGCAGTGACCTTCAAGCCGAGCGTCTTCAGCAGCAGCCCTGTAGAGGATGCTAGGACACCTTTACCGATACCGCTGATGACACCACCAGAAACAACAACGTACTTCATTCTCTAAGCTCTATTCAAATGCTCTTTCTAGACAGAACGTGACGGCAAAATCAATGACAAGGGTGAGAATGCAATGGCCCAACCTTCTAGAACGTTCTCAACTAAACGTATTCACCTCGAGGGAAGAAGAGAAGAAGGGGGAAAGAACTCAAAAGAAGAAGGGGCCTTTTAATGGTGAAGAAGAAGAGAAGAGCTGGGCTTGAAAAAAAATTTTTAGGCCTCGCTACGCGCGCGCTCCAGGAGGAATTTCCGATGAGGGCAGCGGCGGTTTGTGTTGGCTGGCTGGTTATGTAAGCACATGGTGTTGGATTACGTAAGGCAAGATTATATTATACGATATTATATAATTGTATATAATGTAATATCATATCATACCGTGCTCAGCTATAAGGTGTATCATCCCAATCCATTGCACAACACCAGGTGTAGAGCCCCTATCACTGAACCTTTACACCTCCGATTCTCCCATCCTCATCCCGTAGGATCTGTGCACGGCCTCGCTTTACCAGTACTTTGATAGCCATCTCCAGGATACGGGGGTGTATTCCATGGAACTCTTGCTTCAGACTCAGGTCTCCGTTAGCTATCTCGTATAGTGTCAGCACTGTGCCTGCCTGTCCCGTCGATTCTATCCATTCCAGTACCATCGCAGCCCAGTCGTCTGGCCGGTTCCAATTCACATAGTACTGTGTGCTGTTGGATTTGCTCTTACCGTCAACAGGTGAGACGTCGCCGCTGCGTAACATCTCTTTGAACAGTAGCCTTATGGTGTCGATGTCCAACTGTCGGTCAATCGCCTCATTATGGAACACTTCGCTGGTGGAGTCAACATCCTGTTGTGAGTCTTCTAGTGACTCAGATTCAACGTCTCCCTGTGACAGTACCACCCCTCTGTCGTTCATTATCCAAATCCTATGGAAACGACAGTATGACAGTATCAGCTGTACCCACTGCTGCCGTTGGGCTGACCACGTTTGTTCATTGGGCTGTTTAGTGAAGAAAGGAGGGAAATTGTAGATCTTTGGGAAGGTAAACGACATTACTTTGCTAGTCTCACCTTCCTCCATGTGATCAGTGTATATGTGGTGAAGTTCAAACAGCGGCTCCGTGTTTGTTTTTCTTTCACAAATGGAGGTTGAAAACATCAACAAACACATGGAATACATAGAATACGCACAATGGAAGTACAGAAACGGGAGCTCGAGAGCCTGCTCAGGGGGAAGGACTCCCAGACGGTTGCACTGGACGTCCTGGAGCACGAGTATGTGAAGACATACGAGGAGCTTATCGATACGCTGGACACGCTAATGGAGTACGAAACCTGTAGAACCACGCGGGACATAAATATAAGCAGAGAAGATATTCTACACGACTACACGGGAGAGGGTGATGTAAGCTCCTTAGCTAATACATTAGAGTATGAGCGTGGAATCCAAAGAATCCGAAAACTAGTTGTTGAAACTGGCCATAGAACCATTCCAATCTTACGGGCTGTACACCAAGTGGATGGTATTCCTCAAAGGGAGTCATCGTTGGCTGATATGTTAGACAACCGTGATCAGATGTTCATCGAGATCATCAAGTTGAGCAATGCTGTCAAGAAGAAGCAAGAAGAGCTCTTTGCACTTGAAAGAGACAACGAAAGACTGCTGGCTGAATCCACGTTACTCTCCACAGTGTCGAGAAGTGACAAGGATGATCAGAATGGTGAGACCAAAGACAATAGTGAAATGCTCAGACAAGAGCTCGAAACAGCGATTGATAAATCAACGAGGTATGCTGAACAAATCCAGCGGGTAATCTTCGAAGAAGGATTGGACTGGTATAACGATAAAGATCTACTAGATGTAGTGGAGCTGTGTGGTTCCATAACCCAATTGTAATTGTATATGTACATGAAATATCTTTTTAGCAGTTGTAGGGAGCACTCTATTTACAACTTGAAGACTCTGCTGTTAATAACATCCCAGTTCAAAGAGTCAAACACCTTCTTGATGTACTCCTTCTTGCCGTTAAGACCGTAATCGATGAGGTATGACTGATCCCATAAACTAATGCCAATTAGTGGGAATGTAAAGTCCTGGATCCCCTCCTTGAGATCCTGCTTGATGGATTCCAACAGTTGGAAATCATCTTTACCAACTGGCCCGTTTAAATCAATGCCTTGGTTAGCGTTGAATTGGTATGGAGAACCACTGTTGTTCAAGGCAAGAACTTCCAACTGCTTATCGGCTCTTTCAGCAAGGAACAACCATCCCTGACCAACAACAGCATCAGAGGCATCAACAAAAACCTTTCCAAGGCCCTCTAAAGAACCAAATTGCTCGTTGATTCTCTGTTCCAACTGTCTAGATGGCCTCGTGTGGTTGTTCTCAGGACTGGTCAGCTGCTGGAAGAAAAAATGGTTGTTATGGGCCTGAGAGGCAACGTTGAACACCTTCTGCTTCGTCTGGTCCTTTGAGGTCACCTGTGCAATGTAGAACGGGAAACGAGTCTCGTCAGCGGTACCAGCAGTGAGCTCCGTCAATCTCGTGGTTAAGAACTGCTGGTAGTCCGTCCAGGCAGTTTGGAACCCAAGCGGAGAGTAAAGCCCAGGCAGCTGTGATACTGGAAGACGTGGAACTGTATGGAGAAGACGTCTCGATTGTCTAAGGAACATCTCTATATTCTCTTGGTTTTAGTTATTTACAACCCAGAGAAGCCCAGTGCTTTGTTGTTTATGGTGAAATTTTCCAACAAAAGCGTTCGCCGGAGGGAAGAGAAAAAAAGATGATACACCCGTACACCGATACACCCGTGCACCGAAACATCCACACACCAAACCATCCGTACATTGCCGGTCGGTTATGAACGTTTGCACGTTTTTCGCTTCTCCGTGTGCGGGCACTAACAAACTCCATCGTCTTTTGCAGAAGTTTCTCTCTGTTCCCTCTGCTTCCATCTTTGCCATTCTAAACGTTCAGCAGAGGGTTTTAATTTGATTGCTTGGGTATAAAAGTGCCGTCAATTCCTGTGATCTTTGCTTTCTCCTTGACGTGGACGGCCTGCATTTAAAGGTTTCGAAGAGATGCTCAAAACAATTGGTTCAAGAGTGATACAGCAACGTACCCCAAGGAGTCTGCTATTATCCACGCAAAGCGTGAGGTTCTATTCTCCATTACCTCGTTATAGCAAAGATGCTGGCAGATATCCAAGAAAGACGACTACGAGACGCTCAGGTACTAGACATCCACTGTATGATGATGCTCTTCATCCATTCAAAGACACACAGGGTCGCATTGACTTTGACGTGACACCAGAGGTTCCAAATCCGTTTGGTGTCATTTCACACTCAGATCGTATTGCCAGAATCCTCAGTGAACCGACGTTAGTCATAGAGCGTCAAATTGAAATGATGAATGTGTTCTTAGGCTTCGAGCAGGTCAACAGGTATGTCATCATGGATGCTCTGGGAAACAAGCTAGGGTTTATGGAGGAACGGGACTTGGGCTTCCTGAAGGCCATGATGCGCCAGGTTTATAGACTTCACAGACCCTTTACAGTTGATGTGTTCGACAACGAGGGTAATAGCCTGCTGACCATCAAGAGACCTTTCAGTTTCATCAATTCTCATATCAAAGTGTTCCATCCGGGGTTCCAAAATGAGCAAGATGGGATCATCGGCGAATCTGTCCAGAGTTGGCATCCATGGAGACGTCGGTATAACTTGTTCAAAGCGGACTCACCTGAAGAGTTCTCACAATTTGGCGCTATAGATGCGAGATTCCTGAGTTTCGACTTCCCCGTGAGGGACGAAGAAGGCGTCGTTATCGGTGCCGTGGATAGAAACTGGGTCGGTTTGGGAAGAGAGTTATTCACAGATACAGGTGTCTACATTATCAGAATGGATCCTGCATCATTCGCAGGAATGCAGGACTACTACCCACAGGTTGGTGGTCCTCTCACACTTGACCAAAGAGCAATCTTGCTTGCAAATGCCGTGAGTATCGATTTCGACTACTTCTCGAGACATTCCAACCAGGGAGGTCTGGTTACTTTTGGAGAGTAATGATCACCACGCACATTCGGAAACTGCGTTAGATATATTTATTATACATGATCTGGGGAAAAGAAAGCATTGGGCAGAGCTGTCGTCGAACTAGCACCAACATATGTACCCTGCTATTTCAAACGATACATCCAGATGTTCTCGTATCATCTAACTACATGAAATCCAATGTCCATGTTGGTTTATAACCATAGCAATAGTATATCATCGTATATTAACTGCCTAGGCTGCATAGCTTCAACAAGATCCACCACGGCGATATCTAACTTCCGAAAGCCGACGGGTATAAATACGCGGAGCCTCTAAAGAACCACACCACCGGAAGCTCACCAGATACCAATCCACGAACTAACAATCACAACCAGCGGTCCCAGGTCCTCAAGCGGTCCTCTGCCTGGCTCTTACCTACAACACAGCTCCAACCCCCAACCCCCCCCCCTCAGTGTATACTGGAAACATACAACAGGTCATGTGACCGTATCGGCGTTAATACGCAGCCTCTGCGTTTTTACGAGTGTTTCCCTTACGACAGGCAGCGTAAAGTTTCCTCCGGCTCTGCCTCGACGTGACGCTGTGGGCAGGGCACCCGCATAAAGTCGCACACAGACGTTGCAACATCGATGACGATCCCGCTACTTCTTCAATCAGGGGGATTGATGGCCGTGTATAAATGTACTGTGTCGGAAGTTTGAGGTCTGCCTTCTTTCATAAACTTGGTTTGTAACTGTTGCGCTATCAAATAGTCGGAGATGTCGCCAAAGCCAACGTACATTGAATTTAAAGACCCGAAGAAGTCACAGTCTGGTAAGCCCCATTTACCGTTTAACAGACAGACACAACCTCTTTACCCTCAGCAATCGATTCCACTCGCACAATATACAAACCTGAGGGCGTACAACCCTGGTGGTGTGATTGGGGAAAAGGACTTGGCTGGTCGTATTCTCAGTGAGCCCATTCTCATTGTCGAGCGTCTCATTCAACCGTATGAGCTTGCCGTGGGGTTCGAAGAGTGCAACAGGTACATAGTGAAGAATTACCGTGGAGAAAAGTTGGCGATGATTGAAGAGCACAGCGGTGGCTTCAAGAAGATGCTCGTTAGACAGGTTGCCAAGTCAAAGAGACCCTTCACATTCGATGTTATTGACAACGACGGCAACGTCGTGTTGAAGTTCAAGCGTAAGTTTGAGTTCATCACCTCCCATCTTAAGGCATGTTTGCCTAACGATACTCTTATTGGTGAGAGTTTCGAGAAGTACAACGTCATCAAGAGAAAGTACAACCTATTTCAAGTGACTGGTCCAAATCAATTGACCCAGTTTGGTTATGTCAACGCTCCTCCTAAGAGTTTTGAGTTTTCTATTGGCGATGAACAAGGACAAACCATCGCCGCTGTGGATTGCAATTGGACTGGGTTGGCGAGAGAAGTCTTCACCAATTCCAACATGTACATTATAAGAATGGATCCTTGGGCATTCCAAGGTGTTGCTGACTTCTACAAAAACGTTAAACAGGTACCCCTGACTCTGGATCAGAGAGCCGTCCTCCTGGCCAACGTTGTCAGTCTTGATTTCGACTACTTCACACGTGATCATGATTCAGATTGAGTTCGCTAATCTACTCTGAGTCCTCTTCGATGCTTCAAGTAGTTTGTTGTTCCATTCACCTGCGGTTGAATGTTTTGCAATCAACTTGAGGGTTTCATAGACGAAGCCAGTCATCTCTGTTCTTCTTATTGAATTCTCAATCTTCCAACGTTCACGTAGATCTAGCTCTTCTTGTAAAGATTGATAGTCACCTGCCTCTTCGTATACCAAACGACGGTCTTTCATCACAGATAATAAGGAAAACTGTAGCTCGCCTGATGGGTAGTGGTTCATCCTTCTCTGTAATACAGCAGGCAACAATTGGATGAACTCTGTGTCTGAAGAACAACACTCATGTGCTATCGGCTCTGGTCTGAGTCCATCCAGCTCCCAGATTCTACCATCTCTGTGGATGAATCCAATAAAATGGAATAGATCCTGTGACTTATCGTTGTCCGTACGGTCCCGGTCGTCTTCAAACATGTTAGGGCTTGAAAAGGAATTGTGTACGGTTCTTATCAGTTCAGAGTTTGTCATTGTCTCACCTTTCATCTCGGAATCAAATGAGCGGATAAAGTCCTTGAAAGACGACAACTCAGGACCCAACTCCACATCGTCTCTGTTCAATAGAATGTTCAGCACAGCTTGTGTAGCACATGCATTGTTGATCATTTGGCGGGCAAAGAAGACATCGCTAGATCTCTCTGCCTCAGTTGACAGCTGAGACTGGTAAACACCATCCAGAGGCTGTCTAGATCTGTCAATATCTGTATATTTGAACAAGAATATGACCCCATATAACGGTGCGTGTTCCGTAAGAGCCAGTGGCGAGTACAACTCTTGAACCTCGACACCTTCCACGTGGAGTTTCTCTATAAGCTCCGTGAAAACACCAGGGTCCGACTCTATCAGATTCCATTGGCCAGTAGACATCTTCCTACCTTCCTTATGATCCTTGCCTCCTTCCCCCCACAAACGGTCAGTGTACCAACATTCGCCATCATCACCAATCCCACCTCAGCTCAACACATCGCTGTGGCCCGTAACAATCTCGACGAGGCACGTGATCTTCATGCAGACTGCTGTACACCAGGTGGTTGGGACCGCAAAGTGCGTACTAGTGCGTTGTTTTTCGTTGGTTTTGTTTGGGGGGACCATTTCTGTCTCCCGCCTCCCATTGTTTGGTATAAAACCTCATGGCTTTCCTTTCCTTCCAACCCGATTTCTTGAGAGGTCTTTCCTTTTTCCTTCTCCTTTTCTCTCTCCTTTCCCTCCAATTGGATAGATTCTCTATTTACCAAACCACATACGTTTAAACCATGTCTGAAGCTGATAAACCTGTTGAGGCCGCTGCTGCCCCAGAAGAGAAGAAGTCCTTCATTGTGAGTATCTGCGTGTCTCTGGACTGTGTGGAGCAATGGCACACGCTTGCTCTTTACGTCTAGCAAGGGGGTGTGGCCATCAGTGCTGCTGAGATAACGTTTGTACTAACAATTGACTGCGACAGGTTACTTTGAAGGACTCTGCCAGTGTTGAGAAGTAAGTTGAATAGCTGCTTCCCCTTTCATGACACATCTACTGACACAGGACAGGTTCAAAGAGGGCCTCCACAAGGTCGGAGGTGAGATCACCCACGAGTACAACTTGATCAAGGGATTTGCGTAAGTTCCTTCCAAACCACAGAGCCCCGTGCTTGTCCAGCTACTAACATTCGCCTATCACACGCTAAAGTGTCAAATTGCCATCCTTCCACGCTTCCACTCTTAAGAAGGATGACCAGGTTGCCACCGTTGAGGAGGACAAGGAGGTTAAGACCCAACAGTAAGCATCACGGATCGTGACGGTGACAATGTTTAGTTCTCTTAATATCTAATAACCACGCTCCTGTTGTAGCTCCTGGTACCTTATTCTGTTCCTGAACCCTCGCTCTCCCCCACCCCCTGAAACCAATGGCGTTAGCGTTGCCATGGTGATTGCAACTATCAACGTCCCCGTAGTTACACTAAGACGTTGCTGCAACAACCATGCGTGCGCGTAACAACAATTACTTTGCTGACGTAAAACATCCACACACCCATCATAGCTCGGGGTGCATTCGGTGACCCTTACTCCCCTACTTCTACAACTAATACAACACAAGATAAAACCATTGAAGACGCTAAACTTCTGGTTGTTGGGCACGTGCTGGTATACACTCTCAATACGATAGCTCAACATGTGTAAATTGGCCTTAGCTGGTAACCCAGGCCAGGGTTATCAAGCCATCAACAATGACCCCGTGGCAAAGCAGATAGACCACATATACCAAGACAGGCTGAGACAGTTCATGGACGAGGGCCAGTACAGGGATTTGAACTTGCCGAAGTTCTACGACGTTGACAGAGTCGCACAGGGGTCCAAGGACGCCAAAGAAGGTGAAGGCTTTGTCGATCTCAGCGTCCATGAGATCCCCGATGTTAAGAAGAGGCCGTTGTTTAAGGATGTGATCAATAAGGATACCGAGTTCCGTCCGGCTCATAAAGGCGATAGTTTTGGGCCTTCCTGGAAGACGTTTTGGTTCAAGCTCAAGCTGAGAATCCCAGACAAGTGGCTGTCGGAGGAGCAGATCTGGTTCCAGTGGGATTGCGGTAATGAAGGCCTGATCTACACCAAGAATGGTACTCCGCTACAGGCCTTTACAGGTGGTGACCGGAACGATTTTATAATTCCAAAGAGGTATTACACATCCAAGAAGTTCACTCTTTACCTGGAGATGAGCTGTAATGGAATGTTTGGTGTTGGAATGGGGTCAGATATCGCTCCTCCAGACCCAAACAGATACTTCACCTTGAGAACCGCAGATTTGGTGTTGCCAAACCTGGAAGCAAGGGCTTTGAAGATTGACTATTGGATTATCAGCGATGCAGCAAGAGAGCTCTCTGGCGAATCATGGCAAAAGTACAAGGCACGCCAAGTGGCCACTGATATCATTGAGGCATTTGATCCAAATGACGTCAAATCCATTAAGAAGTGTCGTGATATTGCAGCCACTTTTATCGGCAAGCACGTCGACAGTGCGCTCGTGTACGATGACATTGCTCCAAATGGAAACAAGATTGACGTTTATGGAATCGGGAACTGCCATATCGATACAGCTTGGCTGTGGCCATTTGGAGAAACAAGAAGAAAAGTTGTGAGATCATGGACCACTCAGATGGAGTTGATGGATCGATACCCTGAGTATAGATTTGTTGCCTCTCAAGCACAGCAGTACAAATGGCTCGAACAGGACCACCCAGACGTCTTTGAAAGATTGGCTGGAAAGGTCAAAGATAAGCAGTTCATTCCAATTGGTGGTTCTTGGGTTGAGCACGATACGAATATCCCTAACGGTGAATCTCTCATCCGTCAATTCCTGTTTGGTCAGAGATTCTACGAGTCACACTTTGGCCAGCGTTGTACCACTTTCTGGCTACCTGATACCTTTGGTTACAGCTCTCAAATCCCACAGTTGTGTCGTCTAGCCGGGCTCGACAGGTTCTTGACTCAAAAGCTGTCATGGAACAACATCAACAACTTCCCAAACACAACCTTTAACTGGGCTGCACTTGACGGGTCCCAGGTCCTGACACATATGCCTCCTGCGAATACGTATACGGCAGATGCCAACTTTGGTGACGTTAAGAGGTCCCTTGTTCAACACAAGAACCTGTCATACGACCAAGCAGGCCTGCTGTGCTTTGGTAAAGGGGACGGTGGTGGTGGTCCATTACCGGAGATGCTGGATAGACTACGTCGTTGTAGAGGCTTGAGCAACACTGTTGGTCAATTGCCTACTGTCCACCTGGGCAAATCTGTTGATGACTTCTACGATGAGATCCTGGAACGGACAGACAACGGTAAAAAGCTGGTTTCTTGGGTTGGAGAGCTATACTTTGAGTTCCACAGAGGAACATATACCACGCAGGCATTGGTTAAGAAGCTCATGAGAAGATCTGAAGGTATACTACACGACTTGGAGTACTTTGCAACGATTGCATCCATTTTGAAACCTGATGAGTACAAGTATCCAAATAAGATATTGAAAGCCTTATGGGAGGATGTCTTGCTGTGTCAATTCCACGATGTGCTCCCAGGCTCTTGTATTGAAATGGTCTACAAAGACGACGTTCATCCAATGTTGAAAAATGTCTATCTCAAGGCCAACGAGTTGATTGATGAGGCGTTGTCTGTGCTGGAGGGTTCATCATTCAACGCTCAGTACAAATTTGTCAGTACGTATCAGTGGAAACCACGCGGTGTCATCTCTGTTCCAAAGGCATTCACCAAAGAGGTGTCACACGTGGAGTACCAGGCGAGCGAAGAACACGACTACATCTTCTTGGGAAAGTCCTCTGTTTCTAGTTCTCCTCTGAAGTCAGGGCTCAAGTATCCTTCTAAAGTGAGCGAGACGAAAGATGGTGACTTTGTTCTGGAGAATGGCAAGCTAAGAGTAACGATTGACCATGGTGGTGTCATTACATCGTTATATGATATTGTCAACGCCCGTGAAGTTCTCGATCTAACGACAGGTAAGAACCATCGTGGTGCTAATCAATATGTCTTGTTCGATGACACACCACTGAACTGGCAAGCGTGGGACACTGAAGTCTTCTCCTTGGACACGTACAAATATGTTGAAAAGGGAACTGTGGAAATCAACGAAACAGGGCCATTGGTGAGCTCTGTCTCTGTCAATTACAAGATTGGTGACAAGTCTCATCTCAAGACGGTTATCTCTCTTGAAGGATTGGACAGCATTAGATCACCTTCAGCTGTGAAGTTCCATTGTGATGTGGATTGGCACGAATCTCGCAAGTTCTTGAAGGTTGAGTTCCCAGTTGATATTCACTCCGACTTTGCCAGTTATGAGACTCAATTTGGCATCACCAAGAGACCAACACATTACAATACCAGTTGGGACGTTGCAAAGTTTGAGGTTTGTCACCACAAGTTTGCAGACTTGTCTGAACACAACTATGGTGTGAGTGTTCTGAACGATTCCAAGTATGGGTTCTCCTCACATGGCAACCTGATGCGTCTATCGCTCCTGAGATCTCCTAAGCAGCCAGATGCGAATGCAGATATGGGCCATCATGAATTTGAATACGCTTTGTATCCTCATGCTGGGCCATTAGATAACACGACAGTTGAGTTGGCGTACCGTTTCAACTCCAAGTTACACCTGCTTAAAGTGCCACTGTCCAAGTCGTTTGAGAACTTTATCACTTTTGAAGGTGACAAGAACATCGTGTTGTCTCATATTAAGAGAGCAGAGGACGACAAGGACGTTTCCTTGGGAGATTTACCAGTAAAGAAGAACAGACAAGATGGTAAAGCTGTTATTGTTAGGCTCTATGACTCTCTGGGTGGTAGATCCAAGGGTGCCATCAAGACCACTGGACCGTTAGTTGCAGCTTACAAGGTGAACATTTTAGAAGACAAGTTGGAGAAACTCTCATTCAAAGAGGTGTTCCCTGAATCATTGTCTTACAAAAAGGTTGAAGTTGAGTTGAGAGCATTTGAAGTTGCTTCTTATAAGCTTGTTTTTGCCTCAAATTGAGTGTGACTCTATGTATGTTTATACAACATTGTGTTGAAGCTGGGAAATGAATAAAAACAGAATCCTTCATGAGTTTGATAACCTGTCGTATGCATCTTGTGTAACCACTAGCATAGGATTGACTGCTGGAAGCTTTGTCTCCTCACTCATAAGACTCAAGGCAGACAAGGCTAGAAAGCTATGATATGGATCTGGAGACGATGTATGCTGATCTGTCTTACCAAATCCACCAATCACTGTGCTTTGAGTCTTGCTGAGCAGATAGCTTGCCATCGCATCTCTATTGACAAACTGCTGTGCTTCTAAAATTGCCAAAGATGCTGAACACCAAAATGAGTAGCAAGTGTCACCGAATTTATTAATTCTTCCGTTATGGGATCCAACATCGTCCATATCACAATCTTCATATTCCAACAGGTCCTGGTTCCAGTTGGTGAACGATATCTGTCGATGGACCAGCCATTGAATCGTTTTGGTCCAATTCCTCAGCTCTAGCCTATCCATGAGCTTTAGCGTTGCCAGTCCACAGAATGTATAGCCAGCGTGACTTTCAAATTCACCCAGGCCACCATCGAATGTCCTTTTTGACATAATGTAACTCTCCAACTTCTCCAAGTCAATTCGATTTGGCCCATTGTACTTGAGTAATTGACATACACTCACGGCCATATAGCTCTATCTCAGATCACCTTCTCCACAGGGCTCACCAGTAGAGTCTAGCAGAGACTTTATGGATCCATCAGCCAGCTGACATCTCGAGACATATGACATTATCAACTCTGAGTCCAATCGCGTGTGGAAGTCATCTCCGAGCATTGTGAGGATACACAATGCGCAGTATGTGTTGGCAATCGTAGGCCTATCGTACTCACTAGAGATCAGCTCATGTATATGCGATCCTCTGAATCCCTCCCCTGATGGAACCAACAGGCTATAGACGTACTCCGTGTACAGTTTGATCTCATCTTGAGTGAACTTGTAGTCCAGTATACCCAACCCTCCTATTGCACAGTACATGATCATCAGCTTGTTTGAAGCCTCTGACTGGAGACGAGACGGCAGTGCAGTGAGCACCATCTTGAAGTATCGCACATGACGATCGTATAACAGCTCTTGCGCCATTTATATTAGAAACTCATGGCATTTAATGCTTCCAAGTATGGGAAAGTGATCATGATAATTCACTCCATACCAATTAGGTAACATCCGAGGTTTCGTCAGGTGATCAAATACCCCGGATTACACAGTTTGCGTGCTCTGAACACTTGATTGATTTCATACATCAAACTAAAACACATTTTCCATGATTCAGCCTCAGCCACATTCCACTGGAATACCTGGAGCACTTGAACATGACTTTCATCAACAGGTGGCTCCATAAGAGCCAACGCTGGCTGACGATTCTGTTCGGTGGGCTGGTCGTCACTGGCACGCTTTATCTGATCCTCAAGCCATTACCACCGGCACCACAGCCGAAGCGGAGAACTAAGCAAGAGTTGGACGCTAT